AAATTTGCCTTTTTAATTGACAGTAGGTGAGATAATTTAGTTTTGCAGATAGATATTTAGGAAATTGTCGCACATCATTATTAATAATGAGTAATAGCAATCTATCTTTATCTAAAACTGCATGCGTATTTATGATTTCATTCATACACCTGCATGGCTGCCGTAATTTGTACTTTTCCATTTTTTCTTTTTGTCGCCATGAACAGGAGAGGATTAAAACTTGTCTATTTAATTCATTTGAAAATTAATTCATTTGAAAGATTGTTTCATGCCTATATGTGGTGCATGGTGTCAAATCTGCAAATAATTCAACGTAATTATTTTCCATTTGTTCAATCATCATTGTTCATTCTTGTTTTAGAATTTGGTCGTCGTCTTCTTTGTTACCTTTTCTTTAGCCAATATCAAAATGTTTTCATGAATCTTTTACCAAAACTATCTCATTGAAACTAAAGATAAACCTATATCTATAATTTTGACCCCAAACCTATCCATAACTCTTATAACATAACTTTTATACGCTAACACCCTAAACTTAGCCACGAATCGCCAATTTTGCTCTAACCCCCACCAATTCCATAGCTTATTCATAGGCCCCGACCCTAAACCAGACGGTATAAACCAAATTATGAATAAAATAATCATAACCCTGTTCAAACTTTGAACTTAACCTATACAAGTAACCATACCACTATAAGCAGTTTATAATATTTGTAATCATGTTTGACTTTTAATAGCAAACAAAAACAAGTGATTTGTTTTTCTTCTATTTTTTTTAATATAATCTGTTCGTATTCTTTTTCTAAATTAGGGCTTGTTTGGATTTCTCGCCTTCCAACCTATTTGTATATTTATGTGTATGTTTTATTTAACTCAGTATGTAAATCATGTTAATATATAATGTATGTTTCTTTGTAAAATTGTGAATGCTTTTTATATGCACGGTCATGCCGAAGAACAGCCATTGGATGAAGTATGTCACCGTACTAAAATGAAATAAACAAACAAACAAACCCCAATCTTTGAACAACAGACATACCCACTAATATGCTTGAAGTGGACGTATAGGAGGAGGGGCGTTTTATTTAGAAAACCACGTAAACCCACTATTGGGACATCACTGCAGAATAATCAACCATCCATAATTATGAATTGGGTCGTTGTCAGGAATAGGGTTAGGGGTAGGAATACGGTTAGGAATATGATTAGGGTTATGACCAGGGAGGGGGTTATAGGACTAGGGTTAGGGCTAGGGTTAGGGTTTGGACTAGGGTTAGATTTAGGACTAGGGTTGGGTGAGAGTTAGAGTTAGGACCAGGATTTGGGTTAGGGTAAGGACAAGGGTTGTGGTTACAATCGGGGTTACAACTAGGCTTACTTTCAACCAATCAGCTCTTTTTGGATGACCAATAAATCCAGCTTTCCAAAAGTGGAACAATAGGCGAACAATAATAGATGAAGATTGACCTCTTTATCCAATCTATTTCACACTAAATGCAACTTTTTATGAAATATGCTTTCAGTTTACATTTGACACATGCAGTGGCGGATCCAGGGTGGAAGCCGGGGGGGGGGGGGCGGCACCGTCCCTCACCCCTGAAAAAAAAGGAAAAAACACAATGTGTAACCACAATTTTACCTTAACCATAATTTAACGCCCCCCCCCCCCCCACACTAATTTCTCACGAATTGGACCCCCATCCTCTCCGGCGGCTGCATCCGCTCCTGGACAAAGATATATGTATTGCCCCCTTAACACATATCCAACACACATCATCATCCCCCCCCCCCCACCTCCCCTCTCCGGCGTAGAAGAGAGACTTGATCAAATATTGAAAAGAAAAAGAAAAGGACAAGAATAAACAGAGGAAAAAGGGGAAGGGAATGTGAAAAGAAGATGCTACGACACCCTACCGCCCGCTCCAATTCGCTCCAGTGCACTCAAACTCACGCTCTTGCTATGCTACATCACTGAAAGCCCTCATTACAACATACAGTGCCTCAAACTCACTTATACACACAGTAAGGGAAACAAACGTGCAAACTAAACACGTCTAAACAATAAAATAAAGCACAAATTAAACAGACTTTGTTTGGGCAATCCATGATTATATCCTACAAAATCTGAGAACAAATTGGGTTGTATGACACATGCTCATACCAAAATTGCTCAACAATAGTTTTCTACACTAACTGAAATCCTAACTTCAACCCTGGACCCATACCATTTCTAACCCTAAATTTTAACTAAATAAAAATCAAACCTGAACCCTAACCCAAAATTTTTCATTAAAAAAAAGCCTAGAGCAAATGTCAAATCACTGCAAACTGACCATCGTGCTCCTGAAATCATATTAACTACATGGCAATCTTTCTTCATTAGGCTATTATATTTCAGCATAACCTACATATAATAAACTGATTGCATACTTTGAATGATATATATATATTGCAGTATTATCCTAAAATAAAAATAGAATTTCTCATCAAAATAATACATTTAACAATATAATACACAGGTCATATATATATATATATATGTATATATATATATATATATATATATAGCCTAATACAGAAGCTATACTGTAAACATCTTTAAAACTTTACATGCAATCATTGTTACACATTTAAACTTTAAAAGGCATAACTGCAGTCAGGTATTATCCCAAAGTATGGATGGGGCATCACCTGAAACATAGCACATCAGGTAATAAGGCCAGGCAAAGTAAATAATAAGTATGAAGTGGGCGCTTGATCACATTTGAATACAAACAACTTACCTAGATTTTAACTAGTGGGTTACCGAAAAAAAGGAAACCATCAAGGAATTTAGATGATGACCAAGGACTTATAATTGTCACTTCTCATATGTTTAGTACAGTACTAAACTTTTGGAGGGGATAACTTCGAGGAACTTGTACAATGGTGATCATCTTGCTATCTCTCAACGCAATATTAGAGAAAGCGAAAAAACTGGTTGGGCAAGGGTTTACCAAATTGTGCATGAGCTATAAGATACTTCATGTTTGTATAAGGGATCTTATTTGGTTATTGTGTACATGCAAATGTAACAGAAATAGTATGGTTGAATGCTCAATCCTTCAACTGAGAGAAACTAAATGAGCAAATACATGTACTGGATATAGCATAATTATATGAAAGTTAACCATATAATCATATGTATTTACATGTATATGTACATACGATGAGATGGTTTCATGTTGCAATGCCCAAGGTTATTTGTTAACACTTTGTATATCTATGATTAGTGATATTGTATTCAGACTGATGAAAGAGAACCTTTTAAGCACACCATAACCTGTAAAACACTACATAAGAACATAAGGATGACACCATGTATACTTCTATCATGTTCAAACCACAGCTAGTTAAGGTATATGGTTGAAACTATACTGCATTATACTGCTATACTATCCTCAATGATATACACACAAGCATCACAAAGAGGTGGCAGAAAAATATATTAAATCAAGAATTAAATAAGGTTGCTTCCAAAATCAAAGAGGGTGATTGTCCTCTAAAAATGTTAAATTTGGAAATTGTATTGCTTTATTAAGGCTTATTTTGTTCATTCAATTACCGGTAATGGGAAAATCTACACAAAACAACGAAAAGAAAGTAAACAGCAATGAACAATGAAATATAGGTTTGCTAGCATTGCCAAAAGATATTACACATAGAGTATTGATTAGAAGGAGTCAATGATAGGATTCCCTTAGTTACCAAGTTGTTGATAATACTAAAAAAGTTGAACACATTCCCCAGAATTTGGATTTGCATGTAATGGGAAAATACCTCAAAATCACTCTATATGATTTTAGGATATTTATGGTTGAAGAAAAAAACTTGGTTAAAGTGTATCAGGTTATGCACACACATGCATGTACATGAATATACTACCCTTAAAAGACACACCTGTTAGGACAATGTTAATTGAATATGAGCATGAGCCAACATCTCCAACTAGCAACTTTCATTGCCAATTGCTAATTTTAAGGATGCATACATGTAGCTACATAATTGCTTTAACTCAAATGAGCTGAATATTATGCATCCATCTGCACTCTATATAGCACTGGCTTTTGTAAAATCTGTAGTTTTTACTAGTTTTACACACAACATTAAAGTTATACTTAAAACTTTGTGTAGCTACAATACCATACAATATTTAAAGGGATCCGGTAACTTTGTCTCAGATTCTGAAACAAAATTCTGGATTTAGCTCATGCTGCAATGATAATTATAGACCTTTAGGTCAGTCAGGAACCCCAGGACTTTTACAAGCCGATCGCCTGTCTGATTATCAAGATATTTATGATTGGAATTACAAATTTTGAAAACCGTTTGCTAAACTGTTTTCATAACACTACAATCTATTGGGGGAAAAGAGTATGGTAAAACCGATCACTCAAAGATTTTTAATTCTTTGAGGCACTTCTTGATCATTTTGAAGCGCAATTTTTTTAGGACTTCAATTTAACACCATATCACAGACACTGATAGCACGTAGGGCCGTGTATCTCAGATTTAACATTGTTAAACGATCCCTTTATTAGAACAAGCACATGATTCCAACAAGAGGGAAATTGGTTTGCAGTAGCAGTTACAAAAATTGCCCCAAAAACTGTAGTAAAAAATGAGAAGTAGAAGATATGCAATATTAAGTACATCCACTTAAATATATAGCAAAGTGCCTCATTATTACCCACTGGCTTTGGCCAAGCCGTATCAAGACAACCACCCCCCAGGAAATAACCACCCGGATCCACCCTGATAAGAAGTTGGTTTTTATAAAGACAGATTTTAAAACTTTTATTTTGGGGTATCCTTGGGGGTCATTGTCCTCAGGGGGGGGGGGGTATTGTCCTTGGGGTAATTTTCTGAGGGGGTGATTGTCCCGCTGGTAATTGTCACTCCTGATATAACTATGTCATTATGATAGGAAAGAAAAAAATATTTATTAGAGTTCATATTTCTTTTGCAGGGTACTTGACGTTTTTCTGTAAATCGGCATCTTTGTTGTAATGTGGGCTTCTTCACAAGGAAAGTGTCTGTTCTGCTAGATACTCCATCGTTTGGTTCAATTCCCCTTGTAACTTCTGAATTAAATTTCTGCAGACCTTCTCATTTCATGTTTGTTTACACATGGTTGTCTTTCTCTAGACCCTCCTACAGGTGTACTTGGTCATCATCATTTCAGAAAAACCAAGAGCCATGCCGTTAGCCTCTGCCAGGTCCCTCTCAGTGCATGTGTCAAGCAGCATCACCTTGTACTTGATGGGATCCCATATGGAATCTGTTGGTTTGAGAAAAAAGAACAGAGTTTTCATTTGATTTCTGGTCTCAAGATCAGTATGAACAATGACAACAGTTATGTTTCTTTGTGTAGGATTCATTAAAATGTCTATAAAATATCTAACAGATAAAATGTGAAAATCATTCTTTGTTTCAATTATCTTTATCTAGGAAGGGTGTTTCCAACACATGTTTCAAACTAGCAGAATACATCTAAACCATGCTATGGTTATGCAATTCACTTTTAAATGTTATATATTCCTTGTAATTGTTTTTACAAAGAGATGTTTGGAAAGGTATATTAAACATTTTTGTAAGGCTGTCCAAAATTTACACTGCAGTTTGAATAAACTGAAAAAGCACAAGAATTAGTCACTACATGAGTGACATTTTATGGTTATTTCTTAAGTAACCCTTTACCTGTTAATGCATAACATCAAAAGACAACAATATGAACAAGGAACAAAATAATTCGCAACACTAAACGATGTTTTATATTCAGTATGTTACATTACCATATTTAAAAAAAAACATATTACTACAAAATGTAATAGAATAATAGGGCGATTCAAGACAGTTGCGAAATTTGCAACTGATATTTGCAATTGATTGCAACTCAACTTTGTTGCCACGCCCACTAGTCTCCTAAATTTCCTAGGATTTTGTTAGGATTAAGTTTTAAGAAATAAATAAATTAACTAGATCTAGCTTTTATTCTTCCCTCTATCTCTCTCTCTCTCTTACTATTAGGGCATTGCTAGAAAGTTCAGTTGCGATCAATTGCAAATTCGCAATTATGCGCAAGACTTATGCTAAGTATGTGCACAATTTATTCCAAACTTATCTTGGATATCATATTACAGTAGGTGTACAATGGATCTCTTACAATACTGATAGCATACTATTTTACTACCAACAAGTAACCAATTTTTTAAAAGTTTGCAAATGAACTGGGTCACAGAAATCTTTAGATTTTGAACATACAGTAATACGTTGATTGTAGTTTTTTTTTGAATAAATAGACTTGGGCACTGATTTAATTAAAGTATTGATTATTCATCTAACAAAAAAACAAAATTTAGTAACAAAGATAGTACACATAGCTATCTCTTTATGGAATCTGCTTTGCTTTCAAAAATTACATGCCAATTGAGAAAATATAATGTAGCTATCAAAAAGGCTTTTTAAAAAAGAGGATGCATGGTAAAATAATGGCCATCTCCCATCACTCTAATTATATAAAATCATATGTCTTTGTTAACTGCCTCCTTAAAAAATCATTTCATTCCCCTGTTATGACTAACTGTATTCAGACTATTGAGAAACAATAATACAAAACAGGTAAATGTAATAGCTCATTGCAAAGTAAACATGTATAAGTTTAAAACAAATTAAAAATGGTCATGAGCATACTAGTACATTATGTTCCGGAGGCATACATTTTTAAGTAGGTATTCATTGAAGAGCTAGAGTACATGCAGCAGGTAATAGACCATCAATAAAAAATAAATGGTTAAGATGATGGGGCAGGAGTCTGAAATACCCTCATCTTTTCTAAAGTCCAACGTTTCCTAGTAATTAAAATCTATCTACATATACATGTACATACTACATACCTCATAGATTGGCTGCTAGTGGTATACTGGATCATCTTGATCTACCACGTTGTCAAAGATAATCAAAGCCTCTTGTCCCAGTCAGTGGAGTACACATGTATGCAGTTCTTTCTTTCATCTTGACAGTCACCTTGTGCCGCCTCTGCCTTAATAGTGACCAAGTATCTGCCTGCTCCTCTGGAAATGAATATGTGTTTTGAGAATAATCAAAATATATCAAATATTTAACATATCATACACAATACAGGATCACAAGAAGTACATATTCGTATAATATTTCAGTACAGATGTGTAATTTATTGATCAATATGTCTACATGCTACACCAACTATCGAAAATTACTTTGACAAAGCTAAAGAAATTCATGTCACGTATGCAAATTATGATATTAACATCTTCCAATAAACTTTTGCTAAAAGCATCTCAAAGATGATGATACATTGTACGAGCAACATGTGTATATATATGCATCATGATAATAACCCTGAATTATGTTGCTCTATGATCTGGTAACAAACTTTTTCAAATTCAAAAAGCGATAAAGCAAAATTGAAATTCATGACTGATAACAGGTATACATGTATCATTCTTTAGTTTGTTCAT